GCAGAGAGTACGTTGTGACTGCTCGGGAGCTGACCAATTCAAAGAAGCTCCACGAAAAGGCTTGCTTTAGGATGAAGCCCAGATTCTTTGACAGACAGCCCCAATTGATCTTCATCGTATACTTTTCGTGGGAAAGTTGAAATCAACCTGTAGTTCTCAACACCAGGAAGGCCTAATGAATCAACGTACTCATAAATTGCTCGAACCTTGTCCGTGCACAAGAAGCCGTGTTCCCTCCTCTCCCCGTTAGGAAAACGGATCAAAATCTGGTAGTGAAAATCAAAATTTTTGCAGTTGAAAAGTCAGATAAGTCGACCTTTTGGCATTTAGATTGAAGTTTCTGAGTAGGTTTGTGATTATCCTGAATTATGTACCTGAGTTACCTTGGCCTTTTGCACACCACTTGTATGTGTTTTTTGAGAAGTTTGTGCAGTAACTGTAGCTGGTTTAACATTGTTCGGTTCACTAATTGAGATCTCCTTACGATTGCGAGGTTTACTCGGTTCAACTTTGATACTCGGCTTCTTTTGGAGTCTTTCTTTCTCCTAATACAAAAGAAAGTTTAGCATTAGCATCAACACTTACCAGAAAATTTCATCAACCTTCCCAGATTAACAAAGCAATCCATTTTAGCCAACCTAAAATAAACCAATTCTTAATACACACATATTTCAATAGGGTTATCTGCAATCTCTAAAGATGAGAGGGTATGCATAACTTAGAAATAAATGTCGGGGGTCGTTTTGAAATTTAAGGCATTTTACATAACTCGAACAGGAAGCTAAAAATATGCACCTGATCAATCTGTAGAGCTGCTATATAGGCGATATCTTGATCCTCTCTTAGCCGTTGATCTTCCATTCTTTTTTCTTCCTGCCGAGACCGGCCACTCCCGAATGCTGGTCCTTGTTCCTCAATCGTTCTTTGAAGAATCTCGACTAGATCGGCTGGGGCAACGGGACCTTCAAGCTTCACAAAAGAAGGAAATAGCGTGAAGTTCATTACTTCAACATTTCTTTTCAAATCACACCTAATGATTTTTATTTGTTTTTATCACCTGTTGAAGCACAGCAAGATTATCACCGGCAGCCGGGGCCAACACCGCGCAAAACGGAAAACTCGAGACCCCCAACACACTACCCATCTGCAGGCCCTCCCCTCTATCAGAAATCCCCGCCCAGCACACGAAATTCACATCAAGAAACTGCACAATCACCTCTGAACAAAGGGTCTCCCTGCAAAAAGACGAAGTGAAGGGGTGTTCTTGGGAATGTATGTACACGAACACCAACTTGTGCTCTTCTCGAGCCATTTTCAAGGCGTCCGTGAACCGACAAGCGTAGAAAAATGGATGCGCCGTGCCGTACTGCAGCTCGAAAGTATTTAGGAAGTCCCACTGTTCATGGCCTGTTGAGGGGAGTTGTTGCTGTGGGTGGAGATTTGAAGGGCCTTGAAATGGGAAGGTTGAGGGCTGCTGAAAATGGACACTTTGATTATGATGATGATGATGGTAGTTTGTTCTCCCATTGATTAAATCCATCCCTTGATTCATGGCCCTTGAGAACTCGTCTAACATGTTCCGAGGGATGCTCACCACCCGACGAACGAAGTTGATTCCGTTGTCTCTCATTCTTGATGACATTTTTTGGGGAGCTTAAGATTTTTGCACCTTTTTGTTTGGTTTAGCAGAGGATTTTTACTGGGAAAAGAATCCTATGATTATTTGAAGGTTAGAGTGTGTGGAATTGGGCTGGGCATTTTGTCAAACAGATGGTGTGCAAAAAGTCTACATCAAACAGATGGTGTCAAACACTTATTCTTTTGCTTTATCAAAGTGATATTTGAAAGTGAATAGAGGACAGTGTCAGTGTGTGTGTGTGGAGAATAAAATTGGTTTAGATTATTATTAATATTTTTTTTTTTTTCCTCATAGGGTTGAAAGGAGATACCTTTCTACATGACATGGTTATGCTATATGAATATGAATGTCATGTATTAAGCTTAAAAAAATCATATTTATATATTTCATTTTATTATAAGCATGATGCTAATTTTAAATTTAAATAAATGTTTTATATTGTATTTTCCATGTTCGGCTCGTATTTAGTGCATTATAAATTTCTATACTCGTATTAGGCCCATAAACGAACCGAGTCGGGCTCGAGCTATAGGGTGTGATTGGATATAAATCTGTTGGAAATTTATAACGTTAATTACAACAAAATCAACTAGTTAAAAATCAAACAAAAGTTAAATTTAACTCAACTTTAACAATCTCACCATCCCCAATATTATTAATATAATTAAATAATATCAACTCATCATTCTTACACATTACATCAGTTTTATTCACTATCCATCGACTCTCACAATTTTAACTAACATCTGTTCCAATCATTTTTCTTCTACTTTAAATCAAATCAACTTTTAAATTAACCATGGTTTAAAAAAATTAATAAAAAAAATAGTTCAATTCATATCTAATCACACCCTTAACTAGTCGAGCCAAGTTCGGCTCGTTAAATAAACGTGTCAGAAGTCGAGCTCGAGCTCGGCTTCTTAAGACCACGAGCTCGAGCTTCAATGAATCGATCTTGAGTTTTAACGAGTCGAATTATAAAAAATTATATCAAAAATCTCTTTTCGAGAGCTCGACTCGTTAACTAGATGAGTTTTGAATGTGCTCTCGAACTCGACTCGTTAAGGCTTCAAACTCAAGACGAACTGAAGTCTTAATGAGCCAAACTCGAGCCTTAACGAGTCGTCTCGTTTAATTTAACCGCACTAACTCGTATTTTCTAATCATTTCAGGTTACCTGCGCTTAAGGATGGCAGCAGTTCGGGTTCGGATCGGATGGAACCTCAGGGCACCCAAAACCAAAACCCAAACTTAAAAACCAAAATCAAAACCAAAACTGTTTCGGGTGAAAATCTTTCACCAAAACCAAAACACGCGGATACCCAAAAACCAAACGGATACCTAAAAAACCAAAAATATTATAATAAAACACCAAAGACAACAACATAAAACATGATAACTTAGAGAGTACCAGGCAACCAGTCACAAATTAGCAAGTACCAACGTACAGTACAAGCCATAAAGGTAGTAGAGTACATAGCTAAGCCAAGCCATCACGGGAGACGTGGAGAGGATAAGAGGGAGAGGAAATTTCCACTTATATAGCTAGGGTTTTTGGTGGGCTTTTTGATGGGCCGTCTATTTTGGGCACCCAACGGAGCACCACGGGCGAAATATAGGATCCGCACCAAAACTGAAGACTTTCGGGTACCCGAAACCGCAAAACCGTGGGTGAAATTTGAGAACCAAAACCGAAAACCGCAGAACCAAAAACCGCGGATATCCGAACCGAAACCCAACCGCTGCCATCCCTACCTGCGCTGCTAATTAGGTGACTTAATAGTGAGGTGACAAAAGAAACAAAATGGTAGCATGAAACTTATTTTATTATTTTTCTATAAATATTTATAAATATTAATTTATTACTATTATTTTATATCAAACCCAATCAATTATTACATTTAATATTTCGTCAACTTATATTTAAAAAAAAAATTATTAACCCAATAAACTTGTTTTTAGACCTACAATTTCTTTTTTCATGTCTGTTGCATCCTAAAATTTTGGATATCCCTTCACATTCTTGGTCAAATATTTTATACTGTTATAGGCAAACATTTTACTTAAAATAAAATATTTTCTCGTTTTCTTCAATCATCATTCAAGTCCCTTTTTTTTTTTTTTTNTTAAAAAAAGTTTACAGTCGCACAAATCATTATGAAGATGATTCATAGCTCCACACAGAATCAATCAAATCTTAGGCTTCAATCCCCACTAGTTCGAGAGCTTGGTCCAAAAAGGAAACCAGCTCGTCAGGATTACAAATTTGAGCACGAAAAAGGTTCAGAAGATTGAGTTGCTCGTGACCCAAAAAGAATCGACTCGGACTGAAATTTACTTCACTATGGTTACATGTCTTGCTATAAGTCACAGCCAAATCATTACAGAACTCGATAAATGACTGGTCCTTGAGGGTTTCGTCTAGATTTATAGTAACAATACAGCGATTTTGCCATGCAGGTTCAGATTTCATCCTCAAGGTGACGAGCTTGATATTTTTAAGGTTGATAAGTAACAGCTGGGCCATTGGAGATGAACCCCACGCCACATTTTTCTCGTTAGTCGACAGATGATAAAATAAGAGAAAGTTGGCTAGGGCAAACCGAATCAAGAGGATGAGAAAATCCCGAAAATCAATTCCTAAAAGAAAAACAGAGAGCCAAAGTATTTAAATGCATATAAAAAAGCAAGTGCCGTGTGATATAAATCATGAATTAAGAGGCATACCTGAATTAGCAGCTAGATTCCTCTGGCAGAGCCCCTCGAAATTGTCACATATGTCCTTTATGTCCTCAATATATCCCTTAGCCTCGTGATAATCTCTTAAAATCAAATCCCACTGATGAATGCATTAAACTCATAAGTCTAGCCAAACTTGTCAAATACAAAAGGCTTTTCACCAGAATTATATGTTTCGTATGATAGTAACTCACTCACCACCCAAGAAATGTTGTAGGCATTGAACCAGTTGTGATTTATCGAGATTGTGTCCTCCTGGAAAACAAGATTCATCTCTTTATCATGTCATCTTTGCAAGGATAAAAATATTAAAAAAAAAAAAGTTTGTAGCATGCTCATTCGGGATAATATAATATGGGAACAAATAAAAATGAAAAATGCAAATCGGGTGTACTGTATTATGAACTTGGTGGTACCACCCACTGGGGACAAAAATGATTTCGTTTTTCTCCTGAGTACATTCCAACCAGACAGCCTGGATGAAGGCAAATGTTTCGTTACTAAATATCAA